CAGGTGCGTCGGTAATACAAGCGAAGTGGAAGTAATTCTACACAAAAAAAACAAGTCGAAAATAAAGAATAACATTTTTTTATTTGAGATTTTATTTTCGAAAAATCTGCTTTGATTATTTTTCGAGTATGCGTGCATTTAGCTACAACTTGAAATCGTATGAAGTAGCTTGTAGACATATTTTATTTTCTAAACTCATTTTAAGTGAACAGGTATTAATAAATAATCAGCATTATGAATAATATTAATGAATAATATTAATTGTAAACAATATCTATATCAAGATTCATTCATGTATGCCATTGTTAAATACACACATACTCTGAGAATATTCAAATTTACTTATAGCATATATATATATATATATATGTTTATTTATGTTAGTCTCCTAATTATTAATTTATTTCAAAAAATAAATCCTATATATGTATAATTAAAATAGAACAACAGTTCCTTATTTTTCATAAATTTCATGTTTTCTTATGGGATGTATTTAAAATGTTGGCTTTCATCTTATAAATATCAATTTATTCAATGTTTTAATAATTTTTGCCATTTCTTAGAATTATTTTTTCGAAGGTTATGTAAAATCAAGAGTGTGCAGAAAATATACAAGGTGATGCATAGGCATATGAATTAATACAAACAGTAACATTATTTAACACGTTGAATGCTGAGGCAGTTTTTAACTAAACTGCCAGGAGTATCAGAAATGGTACACAATGAAGAGTTTAAGAAATATATAAAATATGTAAAATTGTGTATTTTTTAAGAATTTAAAATTTATTCGCTGTTACAATGAATGTTGAAACCAGAAATCACATTACAAAACAACAAGATAATTTTATTCATACTATACAAAAATAACGAAAAAATTAAAACAAAAGCAGAAACTTCATTTGGTGTGCAAATGAGGTTCATCACTAGTACTAGTTTTCTGTATTAGAAATGAAATTGCTAGAAATTTTAACTGGTTAAAATTGAAGGGTTTCTTTGAAATTAAAGAATTTGGTTTTATTGTTAGCAACATTTGGTTATTGTTATTAGAAATCACATTTGCAAACAAAAAAAGAATCTAAACTAGGCAAATCTTAAGAAATAAAGATAATTACATATTTCTGTTAATAATAGTTAACCCATTTGCGTCATCGCTCTACTTAAGCTGCCGCGTTGAAACATCAGCGACGTTCAACTGACTGACTCGTATCACCGCGCGCGGTCGATCGTATGTGCAGTAATGGGCATCCAAATTATTCATGGAGTTTATTAACAATGTACTGTTCAAAACGAT